TTCCTAATTCATATTGCTGACAGTTTGGGTTCAAGAGAGTCTGGCCCTGGCCGCTCATTGACTCCTGGTTTGGTGGTAGTGGAGAAGGAGGAGGACAGATCTACTCAGTGGGGAGTTGTTGGCTTGGTTTTGGTTTTCTTTGCTTGTTCAAAGTAGCAAGGTCCTTACCTCAAGGAGTTCAGTTTAGTAATTCTGAGCTTGCTGGTGTAGCCTGGATGCCTGTGCAGAGCTGTGCGGTCACTAACGTGCTCTTGGGTCTCTTGTTTCGGTTCCTCTTCTCTCAGCCGACCTGGCTTCCCCCAGCCCCAACATGTCCCTGCTCAGCATCTTGGTGTCTCTTCTCAGCTGTGCAGCTCTCCTGGTCCTTCCCTCAGCACCATACCTGGCAGCCTCGCTGGCTGCTCACCCTAGCTCTCCCACATATCTCTGCTCTCCTGTCACACTGGTTTTCCCATTCCTATTCTGAGCTGCTTTGTGTCCAGGCAGAGTCCTGGTTTTCTTTGCTCAGTGTGCTGTTCCAAGAGACGCATCAGGGTGTCACCGCGGTTTCTGCTGCACAAGGGGAGAGCTCCTCTTCCCTCCCCCCACCCCAGCTCCCCACATCTATCTCCTGCTTTGCAGCAGTGCTGGATGCCCATCAGACCCTTCATGTGAGCCAGCTTCATGAGTTTAAATGGCATAAAATTATGCCATCGAAGTAGTTTTCTTGGAGGAAAATAACTGAAATGGGCTTGTGGAAGCAGGGCCGGGCACACGTGAGAACCAGGGAAGCAGCAATGGCAGGGCCCACCCCTCCCCACCCTAAAAACTTTTGGGGGAGTTCCCTTAGGGGTCTGTTCCCTTGGATACCCTCTTGGTGGTGCAAGAGATGTGAGTGCCTGGAGCTGCTTCTCCCTGGTTTTAGCGCAGTCCTGTGTGGATTCAAAGCGAACGTGTAGCCGGAGCTTCAGAAGGTACGATTTGAAGTCGCCAGCATCCCTCCGAGCCCACGTGTTTTGTAATTCCTGTATCTGCTCTCTTCCCAAAGCTTTATTTTGGGCAGACTGTTTTTATGACAATGAAAAGAACAACCCTGGAAAAAAACTGCGTTCCTAACACATTTCAAGTCTCTGCTAAAATAACCAGGGAACAAAATTCCTCAAATAAACATTTGCTGGAATTTTTATATAGACAGGGTATGTGTTTTTTCTCAGCCATTGGTCTTGGAAAGGGCTCAACGTACTTTTTTTTTTTTTTTTTGTTGAGCTTTGGCAGATGATAGGTGATATGTAAGGCCAGGCAGTTGGTTGTGAGGTATATGGAAGCAAAATGTTTATACTGAGGAGTTTTAATAGTGGATAATGCTGTTGTCTCCAACTGTAACAACTGAAAGAGCTGACAAGCAGCATTTTAATTCTTTTTTTTTTTTTAAATTTCAAACTTTTTTCAATTCTATTAAAAGGTGACCAAACATTTTTATTAAGATCCTAATAGGTTGTGTAAGGTGGGATTTAAAAACTTCTATATGCAGTCCATTGGAAGAAAAAACAATTGGACACTGAGTGTATCATGTACCTTTTCATAGCAATGCACTGGTTTTGATTGTTGGGGAGGAATCAGATTTGTATATTTATGTATTTGAGATATGAGAAAGAGCAAATGAAGTTTAGATTTAGTACACAATACCCTGATACAATCTACATATATATTAAGTGCCAGAAAAAGGTGTAACAATTTCTCAATAGAAAAGATTATCGGAACTTTTTTTAAAGAAAAAGTATTTGGTCATAAGCTTTTACAGGGTAGCTTCTGCTTGTTGCTTTCTCTCCCCAGTAGTACCTCTGAACTAGCTTACCTGCAGCTGTGGTCTACTCTTGGACAAGGTGAAGGGGACTTGTAGTAACACTCCCCTTGTTTTTAATAACCTTAAATACGAATGCAGAAGCAGTAATCTGTGATGGGCAGGAGGGAGGCGGCTGCGCGTGGCCCTGGGAGGAGGTGATGTGTCTGAAAGCACTCCAGTGCTGAGATGCTCAGAGGGCTGTTATCTACTCCTTGGTCACTTGTTGCCTGGGAGACAAATGTAATCCAGGGATTTTTTTTTTTTCTCCCTTCCTTGCTGTTTTTTGATTGGAGCCACTATTGACTTTTGGCTTGGAGGAGGTAGTGAAGCAGCATGCCAAGTGTCATAAGATGGAAATTAATCACTAACCGATGGGTCTGAGTTCCAACGATTTCCTTTCCTGTGATTGCTCTGTATATGGGAAGACTAATGACACATCTAAACAGACAGTTAACGAACCTCTTCACACCTCTGACAGTCAAGAAGGATTCTTAACCAGATGACACTTCAGTTTTCTTTTTATTTCTGCTCTCTTGTGTAATTGTGGAAAAACAAAAATAACAATCTTAAAAAAGGAACTTTGCATTGGAGAGCTTTGTCTGAAATTGCATTTGTTTTTGCTGCTAAATTATAAGTCATCTCAGTCACAGTGAAAGTACAGCAAATCTGCCTTCCCAGTGTTTCTTTTAACAAGGAGTATAATTCTTCTCAATACTTTTTGTGTGAGTTTCTGGTTTTCAGTAAGATTATTTTTGGCTTTTGCAAGATTATGGGCAAGCCAAACAAATTTAGCTTAACAATAATGAAAGGTTTTGAATTTACTCTTCAGTAGTGACTTCATCTTGTATGGCCCTCAACTTGAACTAACTCCGATGTTTTTTGGGGACTAATCTCTTCCAGGTAAATGAAAAGTCTGTCTTGGAAGTAAATGAAAAAACAGAGAAGTTTGGAAACAATATGTTGTGTTCCAGCAAGTACAAATAAGGTAGATGGTATTTAAGTATAGCTTTTTTTTAAGCTTCTCCCATGCTGTAAGAAGTAAGGAATCCAGCAAAGGTTTTCTCCTGAAAAATGTTCCCAGTTTTGCATGCTGCTTGCTTAAAAGGAAATTTTATGTTCTTTTTGCTCTGGCTCTTGGATGGAGCATGGAAGTGGAATTTGAGAGGTTTGGATTCTATTTTTGACTCTGTTCTTTGCCTAAAAAGTCACTTACTAGGCTTATCATGTGAAGTCTCTGGCACATTGTCCCATATTTAAGAGGGCTAAACAGAACGACCTCTTTTTTGCAAACTGGTTTGAGATCTGTGGGGCACAGCTTCCACCGCTGACACCAGCAGTGGATCTTTCTGTCATCTGGTGTAGTGCTTCACTGAGATAAAGCCCAAGAGCCTTCCTTGCTCTCTCTGGCCCCTTGAATCGAGCGTTTTGGCCATGCAGGAGGCCCGCTCACCTTGAGAGCTGGAGGATGTCTCCCCTTAGAGTGTTCAGTGGCCTTCTGGTAGCATGCGCTTGGGAAGCGAGGAGAGAGATGGGCTTGAACCCAGCTGTCCTGATGAGGCTTGACCCCATGTTCCCAGTTCCTCCAGAGCAGCATGCAGAAGACAGTTCATTCTTCATCCCCTCCAGCAGATGTACTTGCTTCTGAAAGAAAGTGGTCAGGGCTCCTTCATGTTGTGCCGACCCTTCTCCTCTTCTTTCAAGCCAAGTCTCATGTGGTGCTCTGAACTTGATAGATGCTCCCACACAGCCAACCAGAGACATTGGGGAATATTTTTCTTTTTATTTTTTTCTATTTTTTGAGGGAGAATTCAGTGCAGATTTGCTGTCTGTAAGTTCAGAAGGAGGTCTGTATACACTTCCACATTGCACTATGTATCCTAAAGCCATCTGTGAGGCAGAGGAGCACTTAGGTGTTGGTAGGGGTCCACAAAGATGACAAGTTTTTGAAAGGAAACAAGGTTCTGTTCTTTGGTCTTCTGTGGCTTTAGAAAATAATATCTCACTTTTGGTGTGATCTTGTGTGTGTGTGTGTGTTCTTTGACATGTGAAATCGAGAGCCTTGCTCTGCTGGTAGAAGTTGGAGTTGAGAAAAGGGCTGGCCCTGAGTTGAAAAGTGGCTAGAGGTGGTAGCGCAGCCTCCCCTGCCTGTTCAGAAGACGTCAGCATTTACCAAAAGTCTTATCGTAATGCCTTGAAAGCTTGCCAGTGGAGTCAGTAATTAGGATTGGTGGGGTTTTTTATGTATGCTTGAGCAGCCTTGGTCTGCTCCTGAGCTATGATTTTGTATGCTTGTGTAGAGGAGTCGAGGGGAAGTTGTTTTTCTGTTTGTTTGAGAACTCGCACAGAACAATTCAAGGTATCTGCACCCTGACCCCTGACAGGATTGAGACAAGGACTGAAATTGCACCGCTTGTAACCGCAGAATAAATACTGAATTTTAGTGTAGTCTTCCCATTACAGATTGACTGCTTGAGTTGCTGTGTGTGTCCGGAAAGGGTAATTACAGTAACTGTTGTTTCAACCGATCACAATTTCACAACACCCTTAAATAGTTTAAACTCTGATTATACTCTGAGCTTTTTTGGTTTTGGTTTTTGTTTGTTTGTTTGTTTTGGGAGTTTGGGGTATTTTTTTTCTCCTTAGGGGAGAAAAGATGATTAATTTCCTCTTATAATATAATGACACTGATGTCACGTAGTTGAACGATTAAGTCCTTTTATTTTTAAAACAGTTGCTAGGGTGTTTAAACCACTCCTGTTTAGCACTGTTTCTTGTCAGTATAACAGCAAAAGGAAAAGAAAATCACTTTCAAAAATAATCTATGTTTCTTCGAAGTTTCCACTTGACAGCAACTGTAGCTTCTTATTTTCCCAATACAGGATGACGGGGAAATTGCCAGGTATTACTAAATCATCTTAACTAGTAACAAGAGAGGGGGGGTGGGGGGAAGCAACCAACCATTCATTCTTACTTTTTTGCCCCCAGAAGTGTGATTTAAATCATACAGTTGCAATATGTTATCCATGGAGCACTCATCTCTGACAAGCAAACTGTGTTCACTCCTGTCAGACAAAAAACCCAAACCCACTGCTTTTCCTGACAAATACTGCTAAATAAATGAGGCTATGCCATTAGATCAAATATTTGATTTTTTTTTTTAATTCTTTTTTCTTTGCAGAGTATTGGAAAGGGGTCCTTGTGGTGTATAGACCCAGAATATAGACAAAATCTTATTCAGGCTTTGAAAAAGACACCCTATCACCCATATTCGCATGTGTTCAATACACCTCCCACATCTCCTCAGGCATATCAAAGGTAAGAACTAGATGCATTTTACAACTCTAAATGTTTTCATCCAGTGTTGCGTGTGAATCTTGGGTAAGACGTTAAATGTAACTAAGCTATGCAGTTTGGAAATGTGCTAGCAAAGCAAGCCCGGGAGCGCCGGCAGCAGCCTGGCCTTGCTCACCAAGCGTCTGGGACGCCGAACCTGCCCGTCCCGCTGCGTGCCGGCAGCGAGTCCCCCGAGCAGTCCTGCCCCTGCGTGAGCTGCCGAGCCTTTTGGCAAAACGATGCCTGAAATTAAAGTGCGTATAAGCAAGTGGAGAGCTCTGAAATGTCCACTTACCCCTTTGCAGTAGGTGAAAGCGCAGAACACTCGCTCGGAGGAAAAGGGCTCGTTTTTTCCCCCCAGGTGTGCTGTGGGGCCCGTGTTGCTCGTGCAACCATGAGGTCTCCACGCGAGCCCTGCGCGCCGGTGACTCGGGCAGCCTTTGTTGTAGTTACGTGCTGCCTGCGCGAGGGCTGCCCTCGAGGGCATCCCAGAGGGGCGCGGGGGAGAGCCAGAGCTGGTTTTCCGCCTTGCTTCAGTGAAATGGGCGTGGGGTGAGTTTGTTTTCATTTGATTTACGTTCTGTTTTGATCTGGCTGTTGCTTATGACGAATGTTAGTGAAGGAAGAGAGAGAACCTGTGACTGCCATCCGCCTAGTGTGGAAGCAGACACCGGGTTTTGACACAACTGCTTTCTGCTCACTGCTAATACAGAAAGTATTTTCTTTCCTTTTTCCAAACGTGGGTCAGAAATGCCGGTCACGGCCAGTGCTGTACCGCACCCCACAAAATCAGGAAGGTGTCTTTATCCCTGGCATAACAGGGTCAGCGCCGTCACTGGGATAAGAAGTGACTGTGATGGCTCTCGGGGGGCTTGGGGGCAGGTTTTTTGGTTTATTTTTGTTTGCTTGCTTGTTTGTTTCCCGGAGCCGTGTCAGCGTTAGTGCTGAGGCGTGGC